TCTCCATCTTTTAGCAAGCAAGCCCACTGCCTTTAGAAGCGGTAGCCACCTTGGAGGGTACAAGAAGATCATATATAACTGTAAGGCCTCATTCATTTTCGTTTTTCCGCATATGGGGTTGATTATCTTCAAGCACACCTCTGTTAGGAATTCAAGTTCACTCTTGCATAATTCAGATTTTGTAAGAAAATAATTAGTCAAACGCACACAACAATCAATAACAAATAAACGAACCAAAAAATCATCAAGTTTATGCGAAAAACTCTCTCTATCATATATGAAGGAAAAAGCCACGAGAACAACTCCAAAATCATCCAATATTATATTTAAGAAAGTAATATAATTACTCAATTTTCTTAAAAAAGTGAAAATATTGATAATTATACAAGTTATTTTTGAACTAAATCCTAATCTTCTTTATTTTTCTGGTGATTCATTTGTGGCTTGGATATTCTCCAATTTAATAGGTACATTTGTTGAAGAGCTTAGGACCGAGGACGTATCAAATGCTGCATCAGATCAGCCATTCGGGCCCCAGCACGATAGAAATCCAGAGAATTACGAAACATGCTGTAATTTCTTATGGCTGCTGAAAAAAGCAGCCCAAGTGGGTACGCAAGATGGAGACTCTCTCCCTCCCTCCCTCTTTAATGTAGTGTAATATAACTTTCTGACATCCTTGAATCAGTAGCAGTTGACTATGAAACATCAAGATTCATGTAATTTCGTTGTGCACACTCTTAAGATGCATGGTTCTATATTGGGTTAAACAACTGAAGTCTAGCGAGGGAGCATCTATTCATCATTTGATTGTTTATCTCAACTCCTGTTCCATGCATTACATGATATGGTGCGAATCTTATTTTAAGTCAATATAGTGGCTTGAAGTTGCTAGGAAATGCATGCATCATCTCTTTCACTTCATAATGGTCAACGAAACTGTCAAATTGATTGAGAAAACTAGTCGACCGCTCAGAACGCAGCTATATGATTCTAATCATATACAAATGTAATTTCAGACTATACTCTTTAGTGAAAGATTATATGGATTCTCATTCTTTAGCACAGAACACCAGTGCAGGTTTCTGTGTATTTAGATTTTTTATTTTTTGCAATAAGTGCTCTTACAAGCTGTAATGAAACCCTTGCTTGTTTTTCAGTGCTAACGAAGTTTCATAAAGATAGAAAATGCCAGACAGGAGATACAGAGAGCCAACAAGGTGAGGTGGTAAAGGTTTAGAAAATTATCTCACAGTGGATTCAATTTCTTATGTTTAAGTGGGTTTAACAGTTGAACAAAAATTCACACATGTTATGTTTTCCGAATCACACATATATTGCGAAAATAGTAAATTTAATTTTTGTTCTCAAAAGTACCAAAGATCTTATTAGATATTTAGGTGTTTCTGTATTATATTTTTCTTACTATTTACATAAAATATAAAAGGTATATCATTTTATTTATAGAAAAATTTAAAAATCTTACAAATAGTAAAATATCAATTTGCTCTTTAAATAACATCACATATTATTTTAGGATAATTTTAGAAATTTATTTAATTAACAATTGATTGGTTTATATTTGAAAATCAAGTACAATGTTTAACACTTTGTTATGATCTCTTAAATATTAAAAAATTAATAAGTAATTTGACTTAATCTTTCAATGACTAATTTCTCAATGTAATTATTATATTTTCATCATGAATGTTCAAATTTAAATATTATAGCATGTAGTATGTCTACTTTGTTAAATCATATTAGTTCTCAACATTATACTTATTGATTATTTGAATAAGATTTTGAAACTCTTTTCAAAACTAATTCTATATTGGTTAAGGATTACACAATTAATAATATTTGAGAACAAATAGAACATTTTTTTTTATTTACCTAGGTAATGAATACTCTTGTAATTACTCAAATACTTTTATATAGTTTATATTATATTTAATAGATATTTGTTTGTTACCTTTGATTTGAATAACATATAGTTATAATCAAAACATTACACTTTTTATATAAAATAGCCTAATGATCTCAAATCTAAAAATCATATGTATAACTATTAGGTGAGACTTTTCATGAATATAAATGATCTCTTCATATGAAATTTTTTTGTAAATCATTTTAATATACAAGTCAGTTTAATATAAAATTCTCTTCATATATAACATGCATATTATTTTGAAATATTTTTTTTATCTTAGTTTACTATTAAGAGTAATTGTTTCATTTTATAAAAAAAAATATAATATAAATTGGTCTTAATAACTCTAATTAATATCTAATTTTTATAGAACATTGATGAGGAACAATATTTTTATGCATTAAAAATTTATAATTATAATAAAATATATATGAACATA